TTGTAAAACGTTGTCGATCTGTTAGTATTTTCCTCCTTTTATTTCTAAAATAATAAAAAAAAAATAAAGTTTATGCTTGATCTATGATCCAATGCTGGGGTTATGGGTGTGAGTGTTACACCCGCCCTGGGGTGGATAGTTTACCTACAATGTAAGGGAGAGAAAGAGGCTGCTTGCCACCACTCCTCCCTTTTGCTCTTGCTGCTTTTGCTACCTACCACTGCCATGAACTGTTGCCCTCTGCCACGTGCCATCCTGCCTTGGAGCCAGCCGAGTATGGGCTGAAACCTCCACAGATTGTGAGCTAAATAAACCTTTCCTTCCTTAATTTTGGGTGTTAGGTATTTTGCCTCAGCAATGAGAGAAAAATAACCAAGACACACACTTTCTTTCTTTCTTTCTTTCTTTCTTTCTTTCTTTCTTTCTTTCTTTCTTTCTTTCTTTCTTTTCTTTCTTTTTCTTTCTTTCTTTCTTCCTTTCTCTCTTCCTTTCTTTCTACCTTCCTTCCTCTCTTTCCCTTCCTTCCTTCCTCTTTTCCTTTCTTCCTTCTTTCCCTCTTTCTCTCTCTCTCCCTCCCTCCCTTCCTGCCTCCCTCTCTCAGGAGATTGAACTTAGGGCCTCTGACTGAGCTATATACTCAGCCCATTTTAATTTTTAAAATTTATTCATTTTTTATTTTAAAGATAAAAGAACAAAATCATATTAACAAACACAGAGGCATAAACAAAACAAAACATAATCAATAAAAGCAATACAGAATTTCAGACAAGGTGATAGGAAATAAATAATGGTTGTTGTATTACACATTGTTATCATAAAATAGGTTACTCAGTTAAACAAATATAAGCATGTAAGATTGATCAAACAAACCTTAACTGTTCCTTTCCATAATGCAATAGAAATCATTAGTACAATTATCCTAGCTATCTTGTGTATACATATATACATATTTTTCCCTTCTTTCTTTCTTTTCTCTTTTTCCTCATCCCTTCCTTTTGAGCAGTTTATTTACCTTTCACAATATCTATTGTATTACTAAATAGCTAAGTTGCTCAGGCTGGGCTCAAATTCATGATCCTCCTGCTTCAGCCTTCCAGAGTTCTGGGATTACAGGCATGAACCATCACACCCACCTGATACTTTCTTTATTTTTTATCACTGAATAATGCTCCATTGTATGTATATACCAGGTTGTTTATAAAATCACCTACTGAAGGACATCTTGATTACTGCAGCTTTTAACAATCATTTTTAGTTCTCCCCTTCCACGGCTGGGCCAGGAGAGACCCCTGCGTGGGGTCCCAGGAGCTGGGCGCAGGCCCAGGCAGGGCACGGGTGTGAGGACCGGCGCCAGGGACGGGGAGTGGCTGCAATTAAATGTAAGGGAATCTGATGTAAGAGTTTGTGATGAGTCCTCATGTAAACATGGAAGAGTCTGTGAAGGAGATGGTGATGGTTTGAAATGTGCATGTCAGTTTCAGTGCCCCGTGAATTACATTCCCGTCTGTGGATCGAATGTGGACACTTATCAAAATGAGTGCTTTCCTAGAACGGCAGCTTGTGAGCACCAGGAGGAGATAACGGTAGCAGCACGAGGACCATGCTGCTCTGATAACGGCTCTGGATCTGGAGAAGAAGCAGAAGAGGAAGGTTCAGGGGCAGAAGCTCACAGAAAACACTCCAAGTGTGGACCTCGCAAATATAAAGCCCAATGTGATGAAGACGCAGAAAATGCTGGGTGTGTATGTAATACACACTGCAGCGGATACAGCTTTAATCCCGCGTGTGCTTCTGATGGGAGCTCCTACGACAACCCCTGTTTTGTTCGAGAGGCATGTTGTTTAAAGCAGGAACAAATTGCCATAAGGCACCTTGGTCACTGCACAGACACAGAGGGTACTAGTTTATTGGGAAAGAAAGATGATGAACTACAATATCTACCAGATGTGAAAGATGCTAGTGATCAAAGAGAAGATGCTTATATTGGAAACCATACGCCTTGCCCTGAAAACCTCAATGGTCTCTGCATCCATGGGGAGTGTGAATTCTTCTATTCTACTCAGAAGGATTCTTGTAGATGGGAATCTGGGTACACTGGACAGCACTGTGAAAAGACAGACTTTAGCATTCTCTGTGTAGTGCCAAGTAGGCAGAAACTTACTCATGTTCTTATTGCAGCCATTACTGGAGCTGTGCAGATCGCCATTATAGTACCAATTGTCATGTGCATAACAAGAAAATGTCCCCCCAAAAATAGAGGAAGCAAAACCTAGGTCATTTTACTTCAGATACATCATCTAGAATGGTTTAAGCTGATGATTTTGTATATGTACACTGACCATGTGATATACGTTTATTATGTCTTTTTTTAAAGAATGGAAATATTTATTTCAGAGGCCTTATTTTTGGACACTTTTAGTGTAGTGCTGTTGGCTCGTATTTAGAATATTTAACTACAACAGTTTTGGACTGTGTAGTAGTCTTTGTTTTAGGGTTTTAAATACAGAAATTGACTTCACAAATTTGCACCACATGGTAATTCTAAGATATGTTCTTGGACTGTAATATTTTTGCGAAAACAGACCCACTCACAAATGGTAATAAAATCATACTCATTTTACAGTGAGCACAGCAAATGACCAAGTGTCTTTACTAAAGGTAAAGATGTTTACAGATTACTTTTCTTAAAAAAGGAAAAAACAAAACTAGAAGACACTGTGTTTAAATAGATATTTAAATGTTTTTGAGATTTGGTATCTGATTTTTCTAGACACTGCCTACCTCATGGACTTTAAAGTTGTGTATGTTAGATGTAAAATATTTATAAAATGTATGGACTGGAATTTCATCATTCCTCTCTTTGAAAAAATAATTCTGATACTTAAAAAAAAACCATTAGATGGAACAGACCACTGTAAAGTAGATTTAGATATTGTCAAAACAGGCTTTTTAACAAATAGATTGGAATAAAGCCTTCTATCAGTTATACTACTTTAATACACATTCATTTTTAAACAAAATATTGTTTTAACATAAATAAGCAAATTGTATTAGTGTTTGTGAATACAATGCAAAAATTGTTAATGATTGGTGCTCTTGCACTTGATCTTAGCCAAAAGGCCGAGAAGCAATGATTGGCGCTCTTGAAGTGACCTTAAAAATGACCTAAGACCTCTGTCTGAATTTGTCTTGTAATAATAGCTATATTAATAGATTGTTGGTGTTTAAAGGTCTGAAGTGTGAGTAGAATGTATTGAGCTGTTTAATGTGTACTTTAGGTACTCAAAGTATGCATGTAGAATTTACAAAATATATTCAAAATTAAATATTAATTTTAATATTTGGTTTGGAAAAGCATGTTATAATATAATGTTTTCACTAAAAAAAACAATCATTTGTAAAAAGACTATAAACCTTCATGTGCAGGTTTTTGTGTGGACATACATCTTTAACTCATTTGACCAAATAATTAAGCTCACAATTACTGACTTGTATGATAATACTATGTTTAGAGTCATAAGGAACTTCCAAATTGTCTTTGAAAATTTCTGTACATATAAATGCCACACATATACATATATATGACATACATGATATATGTGTATCATGTATTAACTCTGTTTCTCTAGTGAGCACTGGCTGATACACATGAGATGCATGTATAAGAAAAAATATAAATAATGTAAACTTTCACTTTAAGAAAGCAAGGGAGAAAAAGGTTATCTTAAATCCAAAGTAAACAGGAAAAATGAAATAATAAAAATCAGAGCCCAAATCAGTGAAATCAAAACTGGGAAAATGTAGGTTTTCAGTAGCTACCTGAGAGTCTGATGTAAAATGTGTAAGAGGCCTGTCTGCATGCTGGAGACTGAAGGACCCAGTCAGAAGCTGAAGGCCTGGAGCTCACTGTAGGGTCCTGTGTGAATTCATATCAGGAGGGTGAAGGAGCTGCACTGGAAAACTGAAGGGCCTGTGCTGGTAGCCAGGAGATGATGTCCAAGGTGAAGGCAAGGATTGGAGCTCCTCCAAAGAAGCAGAAGTGGGTCTTCTGTGTTGGTTACTTTTCTCTCATTGCTGAGACAAAATACCCAATGGCCGCAATTAAGGGAGGAAAAGGTTATTTAGCTCACAGTTTGTGGAGGTTTCAGTCCATAATCAGCTGGCTCCAAGGCAGGGTGGCACATGGCAGAGGGCAACAGTTTATGGCAAGAGAAGACAGCAAAAGCAGCAAGAGCAGAAAGGGGAAGGTTGAGGAGCAAGCCCCTTTCTCCCCTATACTGTGTGTAGGCTACCTGCCCTAGGGCAGGTGTAGTACTCACACCAGGAATCCCAGCACTAGACAACAAACCAGTGACAAACTCTAGATTCAGACGCCTTTAAAAGGCTTGCCCATCATGACCACCTGAGGCTCTGGGGGGACATCCAGACACAAACCATGACACCTTCCTTCCGCTTTCCCTTTTTATTTCCATTCAGGGTGTAAACCTGTGGGTTGGTGCCACTCACATCCAGGACAAGTCTTCATTTTAAGTAAATCCATTCATTCACACCCAGAATGATGCTAAGGCAAGTAGATACGATAGTTAACAATAACACTGTGCTATAAATCTCTCTCAAAGAATATCTGTCAGTGTATTTTACAAATTTGATAAATTGTATTTTCATCATTTAGTTCAAAATATTTAAAACTTCCTCTTAAAACCTCTTTGATCCACTTTTTTTTTTTTTAAAAAGTGTGTGTTCTTTTAAATTTGTTAAATTCTTTTAAATTTGTTAAATTCTGATTTAGGCCTCTGATGGGGTTGGTACTGATGACTATTCTGGGTAAACATCAGAAGAATATAGATTCCCCTGATGGTTCTGCAAATGTCAATTAGAGCTAAGTGATTCTGGGTGCTGATCAGTTCAACTACATCCTTAACAATTTTCGGACTGATGGTCCTGTCATTAGAAAGAAGGGTTTTGAAGTCTCCAGCTATAACTGTGGGTTTTTAAATTTCTCTTTGTAGCTTTATCACTTTTGGCATTATATATTTTGACACTCTGTTGTTAGACATATGTATCTAGGATTGTTAAATCTTGGAGAACAACTTTTATCATTAGGTAGTGATCCTCTCTATTCCTGATAATTTTAGTAAATAATTTGCTTTGTTTGAAATTAATATAGCTATTCCAACTAACTTTGTGTGTGTGTGTGTGTGTGTGTGTGTGGTGCTGGGAATTGAACCCAGGGCCTTGTGCATGAAAGGCAAGAGCTCTACTACTGAGCCATATCCCCACACCCTAACTTTTGATTAGTGCTAGCAAGGTATATCTCTCTCTATCCCTTTAATATTTCATTTTACGCTTTACCCAGTTTAAATCATTTGTTCTTGTATTTAAATGTATTTATAACAGACAACATATATTTAGTTCTTTTAAAATCCACTTTGACAATTCTAATATTTTAATTGGTGAATTTAGGCCATTCATATTTAAGTGGATGATTAGTGTAGTCATTTTAAATTATATAAGTATCTACTATATTTGCAGTTGTTTTCTGTTTGTTGCTCTTTTTGTTCCTTTTTTTCTTCTTCTTTTCTTTTTCCTGCCTTGTACATTTTATGTACAGCCTTGGCTTTCCTTGTACATTTTATGATTCCATTTCCTCCTCCCTTAGAGTATGAAATATAACTTAAAACCTTTTAAAGAAGTTGCCCTGGCATTTGGAATATACGTTTATAACTAGTCTAAATCTGCTTTCAAATTTCATCATATCTGTAAATGGGAAGGGTCCTTATCTCTGTTCTCATCACTAAGACACAATGCCCGACAGCTGCAGCTCTAAGGAAGCGAGGTTTACTTTGGCCCACAGTTTGCAGATGTTTCATAGCTGGCGGCTCCAAGGCGGGGAAGAGGAGAAACAGTTCATGGCACAGTGTCAGGGAGCAGAGAAAGGGATCAAGGGAGGAGGAGGGAGACACAGGCTTCTCGGCCGCCCCCAGGGACCCACCTCCTTCAGCTCAGCTTTACCAGCCGACATCACATTCAGGTACATCCCCTCCCTCCTCTCTTCTTTAGGAGGATAGAGAAAAAAGTCATTCATAAATTACAACAAGGGCTCTCAAAAGTAACCTAGTTATGTTGGGGTCCTGTTTACACACTTCTGGGATTCAGAACTATAAGAAATAAATTTCTTTTATTTAGGCCTCCTTGTCTAGAGAACTAGGAGATAGGCCTGGGCATATTCATAATAGTTACTTTAAATTTTCATTTTGGATCCAAGTTCTGATGCTTGCTTTGTCTCCTCAGACTGATGAGATCCCTGGGATGAAACTCATGAAAATGTGGGAGCCTTTAATCCTTTAATCTAGCGCATGCTCATGTTCAGCAATTGGTCAGTTACCTTTTAATATTTCCCACCGCCAACTGACTTTAGTGTAGGCTCTGCTGTGGTCAGCTGTGACCCTTCCATCTCCCCGGTTATCAGAGTGGTTTGCCCTTTCACCTTAGCTCTGAGAGTGGGGGATTCTGAGGTGTTCATTTTCAGTGGTCAGCTTTGTTGGATGGTAGGAGGACAAGAGTGACAATTCCCAGGCTCTTTGTATGTCAAAGGGAAACCAGAAGCCTCCCAGTTGTGCCTTTGCTTTGCATGCTTCATGAAATAGAATTCAAAGTCTTGAAAAAATATTGTACCAATGCTAATAATATTTTATAAGATGCAATATATATATACACTTAGAACACGTTAGCAGTACCATAGATGGAAGAAAGCAGTAAGTGCAATTTAAATGTTAAAAAGTCCTTACATTGCTTGAGTTTGTAGAAGTAATAAAGTAAATATTAATAGGATACTAATAAATACTATTTCAAGGATGCAAACTATAACCTCCAGTACAGCTCTAAAAGAGTAATAAGAGCATGTAGAAATAATGAGCTAATTAATTGAGAGAAACTGAGTGAAAAAATTAATCCAAAGGAATGTAAGAAAGGAAAGGAAGATGGACGAGTTGGAAAATAGAGATTAAAGAGCAATATTGCAAGTGTGTGCCCTTTTCTTAATCCTTTCAAGCAGCTATAACAAAATACTCTAACCCGTGTATCCTATATACAAAATAAGGTTATTTCCCCTAGCTCAGGAGGCTCAGGAGTCCAAGACTACAGTGCCAGAAAATTTGGAGTCTAGTGAGGGCTCCCTTTCTGGAGTCTATGTTAATGCTATAGTCTTATAAGGCAGCTCTCGGGGGCCTCTTTTATAGGGGCGTTAATCTCACTTGTGGGGGCTCCACTCTCATGATTTAATTATCTCCCAAAGGCCCCATCACACACCGT